TGACCCAGTGTGAACTTGACCTCTGGGTCCCTCACTTCGCCGAGCTGTCTGTGCAGCACGACCAGATTTTCCAGGCCGCCCTCCCCGTCCGCCCACCCTGCCCCCACCCCCAGCTCCCAGCTCTCAGCTCTGGGGCCGGGGCAGCCCTCCCAGCAGCTGCCATGGTAAACCTCACTGCAGATCTATTGGCAGAGCAGCTGTCAATGGCCACAGCAGGCACACGAAAAATGTGTAATCGCTCTGGGCCTGACTCCCGAGCTCAGCTAGCACAACACTCAGCCAAAAGGGGAGACAAGGGAGACAGCCTTGGTCACCTGGAACTACGGCCGCATTACACCCCCCTGGACGATGCCACCAAGGGCAGCATCTCCAAGCACCAAGGGTCTACAAAACTCTGTCCCCTCTGTATGTAATTAAGGAACACTTCTAAGTTTGGGGTTTCTTTTTTCAACGCTGCGTGGGCTGAATGCCAATGGAAAAGCAATGGAATATCGATTTTTCTGTTTCATGCTAAGGAGAGAACAAGTCATTTGCTGTGCCATGAGTTAAGTGAGTAAAAACAGACCCTGTCCTCCCCACAGCTGGCTGCGTTTCTCCTCTATTCATAGCTTGTGGCACATGGTAAAAGCTAAACAGATACGCGTTGAATAAATGAAAGAACCATCCGTGCATTTACGCAGGGCCTGCAATGCGCCGGGCCCTCCGCCATCTTTTCCCTTCGGTCCACCTCACCCTGCCAACCCACCCTCACCCTAGTCCCCGCCGTATTCTTCTGTGGTGTCTGTTCCTAAGTCCAGTCTCCCCTTTAAAGCCAGTGACAATGTCTCTCTGGCCTGCATTTAGCCTGAAAGGGGGACAAAAAATTTGAAAGAACCCCTAGGTGGTAGGCTCAGTTTAGACAGAAAGAAAAAACAATGCAACAGTGGGGAGAAGCAAAGACATTTACGCCCCACCAGAAAGACAAAGTTTCTAAGTTACAAAGCCCTCCTACAAATGTTAACCCTTTGCAGAGAGGAAAAATGTGACACTCTCTCTCTTGCCCCAAACTGATATCATTGTGAGCAGTCGCTCTATATTAATAACCATAATGGCACATCTGCTGTAATTTCAACTTCTAGAGTTCCACACACACAAAGGGCGTCTGGAAAAGCCACATTAACATGCAATTGGGCATCCCTACGGAGAGACTGGGCCGCGACAGCCCCCAGGACCACCTCTGCGGATGCACGCATCCATTGTCCGCCCGCGCGGGACTGCTGCCGGCTCGTTTCACGTCTCTCTGATCTGCAACTTAAGGTTCACTAAATCCTCAGTCTTCGGAAGCATTTACCCACGGCCCATTGAAATTCGGTTTCAATCAACTGAAAACAATCCAGGCTGCCTCCAAGGGGCGCCTCATTTTCCTCCCTGGCTTTAGCAAACGCTCCAACAGGGGCGCATCCAACCTCTTACGCAGAAACACTTTTTGCATCAATTGGACGTGACCTATGTAAACTGAAATTCTTCAACTAAAGCCATTCAATTATCCTTAAAATAGAATGGCCCTTAGGAGGTACCCTGGGCGACACATTCAAATGGGCATACACATTTTTATGACTGCTGTATTAAGGAGGAACTTCATGTTGACATGCCATTGGGTGGTTTTTTTTTCGTATTTTTAAGCACAATAAACCATACCCAAGTGCAATTGTTCAATCTCAGCATAATAAGGAAGTGAGAAAGGAAGGAGACTGCAAATCAGTTTCTTTTGCAATCTCAACTTCACTGGGATTTACTGAAGTGGCTACAGTCACAAAAACTGGTGTCAGGATTTTTTCTGTTCGACTTGTGAGAATGCTTCAAGACTATCTTCTCCTAGACAGCACGCTTTTACACGAGGAGAACTAGACACACAAATAATCAAACATTTAGTCTCTCCGAAGTTTCTTTTAAGATAAATCATTCAGGGGTACGGAACAACCCACAGTGCTTTCTTTCTTTCTTTCTTGGAAATTAAAGCCAGGACAGAAGGGGAATGACTGACTTTTTTCATTTATTCTTTTTTTTCATCTTTATTGAGGTATAATTGACAAGTAATAATTGCATATGTCTAAGGTATACGCTATTGTTTTGATATGTTGTGAAATAATCACCACAATCAAGCTAATTAACATACCCACCCCCTCGCACAGTTAACATCTCGCTGTTCGTGGTGAGGACACGTGAAGATCTACCCTCTGAGCAAACGCCCAGTGTCCGACAGTGTTGCGAACTAAAGTCGCACTGCTGTGCATCAGGGCCCCAGAACTTCCCCATCTTCCCATCTTCCCGTCCCCTCAACCCTAACCCACCGTAGGAAGACCATGGTGAGGACGGGTGCTGGGGAACCATACACAGGGAAAGAAGAAAACCGAGTAATAGATAAGTGAGACAGGATTTACTTGGCTTGTTCCAATAATGAACTCTGAGAATCTTTCTGGTTTCATCAAGGCTTTCATGCCTCTTCTCTTCCACCTTGCTACCTGCAATAATCCTACAGTAGGCTGAAGCACAGTCATTCCAGGATGGGAAACAGGGTTCGAGAGGTCAAATGAGTTTCCCAAGACTACACAGCCAGTGAAGGCTGGAGGAGTTGAATTTAGTCTTCTGAACCAAGAGTTTGTCCTGGTGTCACACTGCTCAACCATGGACACGGGTTTCCAGCATCAGTGGTAACCCCAGCTGTCCCACCTGAAGGCAGAAGGCTCCTTCCTCTCGCGGGTCATGCTAGACACGCGCAAAGCAAGTCCCCCACTGAAACAGATCCATCTAGCAGGTACATTGCTGTGGATGGAGCGCTGACCCACCCCAGCATTGCTTTTAAAAGCAATTATTCCTGAAAGGACTTGTGGCTTGGGTTTCTAGCATTTGGGCCTGAATTAATTTGTCAGATTTGGCAGCAAGGCTAATCTTTTGAAGACAGAAAACCATCAAAAGGAAAGTGATGTTGCTATAGCTTAGATCCTAGCGCTGCCCAAGGGCTACCTGCTCCCTTCTAGCACCTGGAAAGATAACTTGAACCAAAAGCCAGAAGCATTTGTTGTAGGGGTTGTGAGACTCAATCGGCAGAGCAACTTGCTCTGGAGCCCTGCAGGAACTGGGCACCCCTCGCTTCTCAGAGGGACCACCCAGCGAACCCCAGGCTCACACGTGCCCCGTCCTCTCTCACCTGGAGAAGCAGGAAGCCATGTGGCGATTCCTCAGGATCTGAATGCTGTCTTTCTAGAGCATCTCTGGATCTTCTAGAACATCTTTAGGTCCCCAAATCCTCAGGCAACCTGAAAATGGGGAACTACTCTCTCCAGAAAGGGCACCTGATTGCATCATTTGGCCAAGTAGGCTTCTTAAAGTCTTACTGCATTCTCTCTGACCAGCATCAAGGAGCACCCACCCAGTGTCTCTAAAGTCCTGCTCTGTATTTTTACTGTATTTTTCAGACCATAAGACACACCTAGGTTTTAGAGGAGGAAAATAGGGGAAAAAAATTTGAAGCAAAAAATGTGGTAAAATATTTAATAACATAAATAACATTATTTCACCAATGTAAATGTAAATAGAACTCAACAGCAGCATTAACAACCATTATTCCTCCCAAATTTTTTTTGGGGGGGAGTGTGTGTTACAGTCTGGAAAACATGGTAATCTTTACACAGCAACATCCCATCGAAAGGGTGCTACCTCTGCGATGTAGGGAAACCACGTCACCAGGTTTTGACCAGGAGCTACTGAAGGGAGGACAGGGTGTGTAATTTGACCCAAGCAATTGTAAATTCAGAAAAAGACTGGTGCAGTACTGTCAAGAGCAATCTAAGAAGTGGCAAATTATGACAATCTCAAATGCCTGCCTCCCTGAGCATTTCTGATCAAGTGGCTTGAGTTCAGTGATCAGGAGGCTGAGAGCGAGTTCACATCCGCCATCACCCCTTGACCACAGGCCGTCACCCGTCTGCACACTCACGTTCACAACAGTAAAGCCGCTCTGCCGAGTCCGTCTGATACTTTCAGGGACGGTGGCATTTCTCAGCAAATGAGCTCACCAGAATGACTGCACTAAAAATGTTTTTTAATTCATCCAGCAGGATTTTAAAATCGAAACCATACATAAGACAAATTGCTAAATCTGACTTATTATGCTGAATACTAAGAAGCAGCTAAAATTTTGGATGATGCCAGGCCATTGTGGTTATGGCTCCAGCCCTCTGAGAAGAGAGCCCCTAAGAACAGTTAACTTTTTCTGAGTGGACGTAAAATTTCTTGATTTCCAATTAGCACCAGGCAGAAGCAACTTGTCAAAAGGAACCTCAAAATATGTTTTAACGTATACCGTAACTTCACCATGCACAGGGGAAATATTTTCAGATCTGCACGCATCATTGACCCATTCTTCTAAAACATCGCTGAGCACGTGTCTTAACTGCGGGAAACCCCACCTCAGACTTCTGAAGAACAGTAGAGTGGTTACCTCCTAGGTAATAGGCCATGAGGATTCTGGTTGCTGTTTTTAGAAAGCTTTAAAAACTACTAATATTTTATTCCAAAATAGGGCCTCCTACTTCCCATTCCCCTCCTCCCACCATCATCTTAAGGAAGGTTTTTCATTTGTTGACATCCATGTTTAAATTGACTGCATTGGTGCTGCCATATGGCACACGCTCCAATGGGAATTTTTTGCCTTACTCCAGATTCACAGGTGTGACCGAGTGCTTAATACTTGAGTGACTAATACCCGAGTTGAAGGCAGAGGAACCTTGGGTACATGGTTCTGTGCAACAATTTGCTGCTGGCACTGACACCCACGTTACCCTGGCGCAGACCTTCCCCGGGGTGGTAATGAAGCTGCAGTTAATGGGGTGGATTGTATTTCCGGCACCATGGTATCCAGCGCAGCATTAACCCCTTTCCCACGACCCCTGCTGGCCAGCCCCAGGTGGACAGCCCCACTTGGCCTACCGTGCAGGGCCACTGTGAACATGGAAACTTACGTTTGGTGCACCTCTGGGAGCCAGGGGCCTTACTCCAGCCGTGGCAGCACTGCCCTCCACACACATTGACCCTGAAACAAAGCAAGACTCCTGAGTCCAGCAGTTGCAGCACTCTCACCCGGTGGGCCCAAGCTTCCAGGGGACACCTGCAAGCCCAGCCTCCTGCCTCCATATTCCTCTGGCTTCCACGGAGTCCTAACGGGTGCCAGGATGCCCAACCCAAAGGGGCCAGGGTAGAAGGGTAAGGGCCAGGTATCAGAAAAGGGTGGGAGAGCCAAAACGCCTGCAAACCTAGAGCTATACAGAAGGAGAGAATGAGGTCCAAATAAGTGGTTTCCTTAACCCCCAAAGTAGAGCCAATATATTATGTATATTATCAGCACCCACATTTTAAACGTCACCTAAGTTTTAGAGAAAAGAGCCCAAGCAGGAAGGGGTGAGATCACAATGTCTACAACCACCCTTGAAGAGAAACACCAACTAATCAAAACTAGTTTTCCCGCACACTCCCAACCTGTGATTAATGGCGAGGGCTCAGGAAGGATGTTTAAGACCCCCCAATAACAGAAACTTTCCAACCGAAAATTCTGCGGGTGCTAAGACGTGCTGCCCCTGGAAGGCATACCCCACAGGTGCAGAAAAGCTCAAACACAGAGTTTCTAGAATGTTGAAATGTTCTAGGCCACACAGGGCAAGAGCCAAAACGTTTTGTGTTTTTTTTTTCATTAGCTAGAAAAAAAATTAAAACTGTGTTGCAAAGAGAAATTTAATTGATGCTGAGGGATTAAGTTGTAGTGACTTCATGTTTACGCCCAACTTCTAAGAGGAGCTGGGTTCGCGCACAGGAGGTTACGCCCCAGGCAGAAATGCCTTTTGTGTTTATCCGCAGCTCAGTAACAATGCACTCGGGGTTTATCCTGGGTAAAAGTTCCTCGGCTTCCTCGCACTCCGCTCTTCCGCGCTCCAAGGCCAGCAGAGACCGCCAGGGGAAAGGAAGCCGACACGCCGCGCACGCTGCCCGCCCGCCCGCGGTCCCAGCGAGGCTCGGAGTGGCTCTGACCCCCGAGTCCGGCACGGGCGGCGCGCACGCGGAGGGAGGGAGGGGGTGTGGGCTTACCCCTGCAGCTGCTGCTTCTGGTGAACCTGCAGCCTTGAGCTCCCGCTGCTCTGAGTCTCCTGCGACACTTTGGATCGCACGACTTGCCTGCCTTGTTTGGCGAACTGCACAGACGCCGGGTGACCTCCGGGCTTGGGGTGGAGCTGCCCGCCGGAGCCCCCGGGACGCGCCGGCTCAGGCGGTGGCGGTGGTGGCCGGAGCCCCTGCAGGGCAGCGCCACCAGGCTGGCTCGTGCGCCGAGTCCGTTCCGACGGTACCCCTGGGGAGGCACGGCTGGGGGGCCCGGCAGCCACTGAGCTGCGACTGTACCTGGCGTTCAGCGCGACGTTGAAGGTCCGCGGGCGCGGGGGCCCGCCCAGGGGCAAGGCTCCCGCTGCCAGGCTGGGGCCCGGGCGCACCACGTACGTGATCCTCCGTACCCGGCCCTGAGCGGACGTAGTGAGCAGCCCTGCCCAGAGCAGGAGCCCCCACCTGAGCCAGGACCCCGCCATCGCGGGCCCGAGCCGGCGCTCCCGACCTCCGCCCCCAGCCGTGGGGCTCGCCGGGTGCGGCCGCCTGCACGCGCTCAAGATCCCCCCGAGATCTGCCGAGAGCCCGGGAAAGGCGGGGAAGAGGCAAACTCAGTTACAGGAGAGGAAGTTCTGAGGGCGGCTGAGCAGCCCCAGACCCCAGCCGAAAGCCGCAGGGAGAAGGGGGCGGGGTGGGGAGAGGAGAGCCTGGGAGGGGAGGGGCGAGGGCAGCGGGCTGTGAAAGGTGAGGGTCCGCCGGCGGAGTCGCCGAGCAGGGGGCGCCGCTCCTGGGATTCGGCAAGAGTGGGCGAGGGCGGGCGTGAGCGCGCAGGACGCTCAGAGGCAGCCCCGGCTGCAAAGTCTTTAAAAAGTTTCTCTCGCGGTGGAACACAGTGTCAGATCTGAACAGCCAATCTCCAGCCGACGTGACGTCAGGCTACGAATCCAAATTGGGGAAAGCGTGCGATGAGCCAGAGAACGCGCCGCCACTCTCCACATCCACACAGATTGTTACTTTATTGTTGGCGAGGCAGAGGTCCCCCATCCCGTGTCCTGGGAAAGGACAAAGGACTCCACAGAGTCATTGAGCGGTCCTTGCCTTCTGGACGCCCCACAGAGTTTGTCTGATACTGTTTGGAAGGCATTCCTGGGAGTTCTCTTACCAGGGTATGCTCGGATACCTGCTGCGGGGATTGGATTGTTATACCAGATGGGGCCCCAGAAAAGACTGTTTAGGGTGCTCTGATCTGTCGATGGGAAGGCGTTTAGATGGCTCACTATGGGATTGTGAGCTCCCCAGTGCTGGTTTCTCGGTCTGCTGCTTCTGGTACCCTACTCCTCGCTCTGCTGTAGGAGAGTGCAGGGCGGGCAGCAGGGGGCGCCCGCGTAGACTGGAAAACCTGCCACCCAACCCTAGAAGCAGCCTGGAGCTTGGTGAGCAAGCAGGCTTTCGGATAGCAATATTAAGTTGGCCAAAAAGTCCGTTCAGTTTTTCCGTAAAATAAAAGACATTTTTCATTTTCACCACTAACTCTGTTGATTTGAATAGTTTAGTATATCAGCTATGTCCTTAGTGGTATAGCGTTGATTGTTCTCAATGTCTCAATTTGCAACCGACTTTAACTGGTCTACCCATGGTGGAGCATGGCCCAGTGAGAAATCTCCAGCAGGGAGCTTGCAAACCACTTTTGACACCTTTGATCAGTCACAGTTCCTTCTCCACACACTGCACAAATCTTTTTTGGCATTTCAGTTGCATTTTACCTGTCTTGAAATAATAAAGCATAACACGTGAAAATGTTGCTTATTTTCTTCCATCTTCAATATTAAAGTGGGTACACAAGAGTTCACCAAATCTGATATGATTTTTTTAATGCACACTCATATGACAGCTGTCACAATACACTCTGTTAGGGTGGTCAGCGACAGACTGAAAGAATTCACAAAAAGAAGAAAGTTTTTATTCACTCTCCAAGAAGGGAGAGAGGCATGGTGTGGAGAGATACACCAGCATTGAGAGGTGAGGGCTTTGCGCCGTTACTGGTTGGATTAAAAGAGGGTGTGGGCGGCTTGCTGTTGTGTGGCCCCTGGACAGTTGGGGCGTTGTAATATGAGGCTGCAGTTTGTTCCAATGTTATCTTCCTCCTGTGGCTGTAGGGAGGGGTTAGTTCTGTTCTTGCTTTCCAGTCATTTCCAGTCCTGGGGAAAGAAGCTCAGAAGAGTAAAACATGTTTTAACAAAGTCGCAGTCTGGCTCAGCAAATGGTGCGACAATAGCAAGTGGGGCTGACTCTATCCATTCACAAAACTGTTTTGAATGAAGTTAAAGACAACTAAGCAGTGCTAGAACCATCTTCTGGAAAAAACAAACACACTTTTTGGCCAACCCAATACAAATGTTAGGATTCATGACAACCCCGAGCCATTATTAATATTTTTTAAAAGTCATCAGTTTCCTGGAGCTCTAGCCAAAAGGAAAGAATCGCTGGCCAGAAAGGACCCCAAATCACATTGGGGGGGGTGTGCAGGATATTCCAGGGTGCAGAGTCCCTGGGGTGATAGTGCTCTATGGGGAAAACCAGGAAACAATGCAATAACATATTTACTTCTAGCATTTGAATAGAAAACAATGTCTCCAGCGGGAACTCTCGATTTCGCTCTCTGAATGCAACAGAGAACCCATGACTATAGCAGTCTTTTTTAAAAAGCCATATAACTAAGAATGATAGTTGCCAAGGCTTTGCTTGTTCTTGTTCATGTCTATTTGTGGCTCATCCTTTTGTTTTGTTGTCTGCCTGCATTGCCTAGTAGACAACTGGTAGCAAATGAGGATGGTGCAAGAAGAATTCATGGAAATAATTTTTAAGTTGAGGAAACTTAAACATTAATCAATTTTTTCTATGCATGGGAGGGAGAGCTCCAGTATTTGTGTTGGCGGGAGAGGACCTCAGTCCTTTTGCCTGGCTACCAGTTTCCTGTGAGAAGACTCTCTGGGAGCCACTGTCCCAGAATAAGTAGCACTGGGCTGGAGGGAGAGACCTCAGTTCAGTGCGAACACTTTGCCCAATCAGCTGTAAGACCACAGGCAGTTCTTCTCTCTGAACTTCAACTTCCTCCTCCATGATATAAAGAAGTTGGATTAAAAGTTCCTTCCAGCCCTAACAGGATCAGTGAGGTCACCTCAGGTCAGCCTCCAAGCCAGACCAAAGGGAACCTTTTGAGAAGATTGCGGAAGGAGGATGGGTCAAAAAGCTGTCCTGTAGGAAGAACACATCATAAGCCAATAAACATCCAAGCACCTACCGTGCTGGCGAGCACAGAGGCTGACCCTCTGAGGGTACAAACTTTCACAAGGCACAACCCCTTTGTCCTATCTGATTAGGGAGACAAGATGTAAATAAACAAAAGCTTTAACAAAGATAAACAACAACTGAGTTAAGCAACACTTTGAGACAATAATACTGAATTCAGCAGGCAGGATCTGATGGGTACGATGCCAGTGTCCAGTACGACCTTTGCCATCTCATGGAAGATTCACGACGTATAGAGAAAACACTGCCTGCAGGCAACTGAGGGCAGGCAGTCTACAGAAACTTGACCTCTCAGGTAGGCATTATATAATGACATAGCAGTTGAAATGGATGGGGGAAAGGGCTGCCTAGAAGCACGGACTCCATTCTGAAGCACTCAGACTCTCTTGTCCTGACAAGAGAGGAGAGGTGTCAGACAGGTGGAAGCTCAGAAAACAGTAAAGGACTGCAGCATCTCTAAAGGACCAGACTTCGGTGGGATGCTGGGCGGGCTGTTCCTGTGGACCACTCACAGGACCCAGGTGGACCTTGTACATCAGAGCCTCTGTCAGTCGATGAGGAGCCCCTGCCTGCAGGGGACAGAGCCTGGGCAGGGAGCCAGCGGTCTGGACTCTAGGGCTCCGCTTCACTTCCCGTGTGAACTTGGACAAGACATTTCCCCTCTCTGAGTCTCCGTTTCCAGAGAGCCTGGGGATCAGCTCGAGGTCCTTACATTAGGGGAGACCATTGACCTGAATTCCCCTGAGTTCTGTGGCTTTGCAGAAAAATGTTTTCTACCATTCAAAAGATGCAATACAATCTTCTCTCCTCTTGACCCACAGCAATGCACACGTGGGTACTGCACTCCAATCTTCAACCTGATCACAACCTGCCTCATGACAGCTTTGGATCTGCCATGGTCAGATCATCTGTGAAATGTAACCACACAAAGAATCTCTAGTGTGAATGTTAATCTCATCCCCAAACGACCCATAAACATTCTGTACACCTGTGTGTATACATAACTGTGAATGTGGCAATGGCCAAGTATGCAGCCCCATTCTAGCGGAGAGACTAGCAGAGTCACAGTTTTGCCCATAAATCTTTTGCTCTTTAAATGACTAGCAAAATAATCCTTGCAAAATGTGTTATTCACTGAATGTACTGTCACAAGATATGGTTACTCATCTGAAACACTGAACTCACGATTATTCTGAGAGTGAAAGCCCAGTTTCTGTCCGGCATGGGGACCAGCCTCTGCCAAGTCCAGATGCAGTTTGATTCCATGGGTTCTGGACCCAGACCCACCTCCCCCACCCCCCACCCCCAGGTTTTAAGGACTATTTATATTGGCAGTACACAACTTCCTGATTCAAACAACAAGTCTTTAAAGATCTCATAAAACTCCTTGGATTTCAGATGGTTTTCACAAAACAATACGCAGATGAGCTAAGTGTAAATGAATCAGAGAAGAGGATTACATTTCCCATAAAAACTCATGAGCTTGAGGATTAGGGGAAGAAAAGACGGCTGGCAAACGCCAAACATTTTACAGCACTTTGACACCATTAGTCAGACTTCAAATGCAGCCAGGTTCCCTCATCCTGAACACTTCTGGAGTTTTGTCATTGAAAAATCTTTTCCTGCGTTTCAGATGGGCTACAAATCAAATTTGGTGTCTGCCTGTGATCTGAACTGCTTCCGCTCATGCTTTCTTCCATCCTGGGGTTTCACAGAGCACCTTCCAGGTCCCTTCTAGTTACATCAAGAAATTCTTAGAGAGAGAAAGAGAGGGGAGAAGGGAACAGAGAAACTGGAAGTCAGTGTGTTGTAGATAAAAGGAAGAGACGAAAGGAGAGTGAGAGCAAGACAGAGAGAGACTGAGGAACGGAAGAGGGAGCGCAGCCTCAGGGTGGCTCCCCAGACCGTGGCCTGCACCGGTACTCTCTGCTGCAGGCTGCTACGCATCAGGGCCACAGCCGGCCGTGTTGCCTGCGAGCACCCCATAAGCACATGGACTGGGGAACACACCAGGGAATTGGTGTGTGCAGAGAGGAGCCAGGAATTAAATCTCAGCCAACAAACCTTGTTGGATCTGTAGGAACCGTGATGAGAGTGCCATTGATGGGAATAAACTCAACTGCAGTGGCATTACTTTCTCCATCGGGATGAGGCTCAATGGGGGAGATAGAGACTCAGGAGAGGCGCCAGGAGAAGTTACTACTTTGGTCTTTACTGAAATATCCACATCCTAGCTGGCTGTCCTAGGACTTGACAAAAATGTAAACCTGACAATAAAACCAGAGTTCCTATTGATGACTTTTTTTTTCAATGTTACATGTAGTTTCATTACAGAAAGATCAA